GTCCACTGATGCGTGGACTCTGAAGATAGATTGCCGTAATATTCGAATAATGAATCGAATATCGAATAATTCTTATTTTGTGGAAACAAATATCGAATGCGTGGATTATCTTTGAGATCTTGATTTTGATTGCTCGACTGATCATCGAAGAGATCACAATACTGATTTGATGGGTTTTATTACTATGATATGCGCTGTACTTTCGGTTTTGTTCGACAGAATGGAGAAACTGGTGAAGGGTGATGTTGAGTCTCTTCGATGTTTATGCAATTTCAGGAAGAGCTGGCGAGTCTGAATCTGCAAAAGTATCGTCAGATTCAACATCAACTCGACGATGCCGAAGAGAGAGCTGAGGATGCTGAGACGTCCTTCGCAAAAATGCGCACGAAATCCCGAAGCACCCTTTCCGTAGCCCCTGGCGGCGGCGGCGGCGGCGGCGGAGGTCTTCGGACTTCTCAGTCGTCTGCGGGCATCCGATCGGCTTCCGCACGACCACGTGGTGCTTCACCATACTAGATTATTCTTTATTGTCGTCGATTACTCGATTGATTAGTGCTTGCTCGATTTCTGGGCAAAATCATCCGCAATTCTGATGCAATTTGACTCGACTGAACTGGTTTTGATCTACTTCGTTGATATGAGTTATCAGTACCAGGTGTACGAATGATTATTATTATTACCGCAATCGTTACCGATATCCTTACTGCCTTCACCGCATTATCACAGTACAATGTTCAATCTGAAACGTATGTGTTATTACTAGCTGCTACCTTGATGACATTAGCTACCTTCTTTCATATTTAACTATACCTCATTTGCTATCTCCTAGAGCTGATGATATCAATGCACTTGTAGATTGTCTCTAGCTTATGCGAGCAGTGTGCATTTTGTCTTCAGTGCCGCCATACGATGATAACAACTGCAAACGTCCAAGTGTTAAAACAAATAAGTTATCAAATTCAGCAATCTGCACCTTATTTGTAATCCCACCAGTCATCCTATTGTAACAAGCAACGAAACTAACCGTAATAAACATTCGTATCTTCTCTCGAACAATTTACCCGAACACACGACTGCTCCACAACTTACCTAATCGTAAGGTATGCGTTTTTGCCTAACTACTGAATGGTATCTATAGCACTCACTCGACTTCAAGATGCAGAGCTAGGCTATAGCGCACTGTCCCGCTAGTTCGCTACAGACAAAATAGCTGTTTCGCTATTTCGCTAAATGGCTTGCCTACCAGATGGCTGGCCTACTTGCCTACCTACTTGTTTCTATTGCCCACCTCTACCAGATGATTTTCAGTTCAGATCAAAATTCAACGCACTTTACGAGATTGATTTCAATTGTTCGGCTCGAATCGCCTAGTGGACAGAACATTCATCATCAGGGTTTATTTGCATACGATGTGAACAAATTTATTTCAGTGCATAATCGAATCGTCGTTCATCGAACATAGAGTACAAACGTTATATCAGAGATATTATTACATTGTCAACAAAGAGATTATTTTTAAAATTTGTCGGGTGAATCGCTATAAAATTACAAACAACAAACAATAACTTTCAATCTTCAATCTAAATTGTCTGACGGAAAAGTTCTTCAAACCGAAAAATTCATACTGGCTNGCTTCAGACTAATAGTAAGCTCAGGCTTAGCCCTAAATTATCATCACTGGCCCAAAGCCCCGGCTAATGCTTCACCTTAATTGTGCAAATTCACTGGGAAGTTCATGAACTCTCCAACCAAGGACACTTTTCACTCCGTAATATTCGTTGTTCCAACGCATATGCTGACACTTTCCCGGAAGCCCAATTGAA